GTAAGATGATGAATGAAAATGCTTACAGTTTGCCAACAAATGGCATGACACAGTCATAAGCATCAATGACAAACATGCAGAGTGGACACTGGTCATTTCTTCTTCTTCCCTCCTTCCTAAGGAAAGGAGAAATATTTGGAAAATAGGTGTGGCTGGAGAATGAGCTCTGGTCTGATCTATCCTGCAAATTTCTTCTGTGGTTTTCCTTGTCATATGGACTCTTTACCCYAGGTTTTTCTTGTCTCAACTGGGCTACACCTACAGCAGGAGTTTTATGAATAATCTCTAATCTCAGACTTACCTTTCCCAATTTGTTAAGGCTACTCACTCACATTTCAAACTGTAACATCAAGATTTCAGCAACTGCTTTCTGAGGACACTTGCCACTAAATATTTGAAGGCACTTACATATTGCCTCAAGAACACCTCTCTTTCTTCTGATCCTTCAGATGGCTGTCTCCCTCACAGCCCTCTTTCACTGCTGTGATCTCATGATCTCAGGCAAGCTTCCCAGAACACACTTCCAGTTGGGAAGCTGCACAGCCATGGAACAAATGGCTGGAGAAATTGAGACAATTATCTGGATAAATCAAATATCTGATCTCCCAATTCATTTAAATATATCCCAAGTCATTTAATCTCTTTTTGAGAACCTCTTTCAGACCTGGTATTCTGCTAGGTGAGCAAAACCAATTAAGGTTCCCGCCCTCATGGCTAACAGCCTGACATTAAGTAATAATCCCCAACATTAATTCCTGCTTATTATGTGCTAAGCACCTTTCCTGACTCATAGGTTGTGTAAGTTTCTGCCAACTAGTATAAGGTATCTATAAAAATCGTATCATAATGATGCAAAAGGAGTTTTTGCTTTTAACTCCACTATCTTCCTGCTTTTTCCAGAATATATGAACTCAAGTTTGCTCTAGATTGCAAAAAGGCCTGGGCACATGCAGCAGGGCTCCGTAGTCTAATCCTCATCCTCTGGGGGATCTTAACTTCTATCTGCCAAAGTATAGCCTCTTGCCTACATGTTCTCAGCTAACTTAGCAGATCCAGGAATCAAACCCAAGTCCTCAGGCTACAGAGCTCATGCTCTTCCTCACTGGACCCACTCCCTTTCCACGCCTGCACTCTGCYTCTGCACAGAGAGAGACAGTGGAAGCAGCAGGGAGGGCAGGCAGGGGGAAAATATCAGTCACATCAATTCTCCTTTGCTTTGAGAATTGTAGATGCTTTCTTGTCCTTCTCCCTAAATGTTTAGTAGCCATATTTCAGAATCAGTGATAGTGTCAATGTTTTTTTTTTTTTAAGAAATGAATGTGGTCCCTGGTGGAATGGTAAAAAATTTTTCAGAAAAAAAATAGTTATTGTAATGAGGATCACAGTAAGATACATATGGAAGATTCCTATTATGTTATATTCTCACCTAAATAAGCATTTATGCTATCAAATTATGCCATTGTTGTAGAAGGCACTCCACTCATTCCACAGGCATTTATTGAAGCTGTAGTGTGTGAAGGGGTTTGTGTTGCAATGGATGCATTCAGATATACATCAGATAGACACAGATTTACACAGAAAACACTGAAAGGAGAGAGGAGAGAGGAGGAAATAATGGGGTGGGAATAAGAAAAGGGAGGAGTTGAAAATGAACCCCGGGTTTCTTACTTGAGCTACTAGATAGATGCTACACTGTAGAACCAGAGGGCAAAGAAAAATAAGCTGGTTCAGGATTTATTGTTTTCTTTCTTAAGCTTTAATTTTTCTCTTCCATTTTGAGGTTGTTTTTATTTGGTTTCCATTTGATGCTCTGGTCAGAGCTCTGTGCTCCCTGGAGCTTGGCCGTGTCATAACCTTTCTCTGCTTATTTCCATTTTCTGAGCCCAATTAGGGAGGATAAAATATGTCTTTAAGAGATTGCTGCCATCCTAACAGCCCCTAACCATCCCTAAAGACTCTTTTCCTGACTATAAAGTTAATTACTTTTTAATTTTTTTGTCTTTTCCTGACAATCACATGCATTTCTATTCATCTATGGCTATGCCTCTATGTGTCCACCCTTCCTTTACACTACTTCTCTACAAAGAGAAAATACATTTGCACGCGATTTAGTAAAATCCAGCAGTAGACACATATGATGTGATGAAAATCTACTGGAAAAGAACAAGATTGATCTCTATTTTAAAAATCTGAAAAAAATAAATTAAAATAAATGATATTTTATCAATGAATGAAAACACACTTCAGAGAACTGTCAGTCTTCATGACTCTGTGACAAGTATTATGATGTTATTCATGTTTTCCAAAATATCTGTCTAAATTAGTCAACTAATTTTACTTTTTCCTCACACTTCTTGTAATTTCAAAGCGACCGTGTAGATGAATTTTCTGCTATAGACATTACTCTGGTAAAGTATAATCAAATACGTACAGGAAGAAATTTTGTTCTTCTGCTATTTCCCATGTTATAAATTCTGAATCACTAATGTAAAGTTGGAGGATGAACAGTTCTTTGCTTTCTCGTCTCAGATCTGACCTCTCACCATCTTCCCCTGTCCTTGAGCCTGGCACCTCACAGGGGCTGGCAGGCGTCAGGAAGGCATGGGCTGGGAGCCAGACTGAGCCTTACAGTGAAGGCTCAGGGAAGCAGACTGACATGGATTCAATAACTAGCACAATGCTGGACACAGTGCTCAATAAGGATCTGCTGACTTAATGGATGTGCGTGCCGCCTCGCTGTTGTAAAGGCTTCAGGTTGATAATGTGGGGCTAATTGGCTGAGCATTATAAATGAAAACGGAGGGCTGCCTAGCTCTTTGCTTCTCCAAAGTCAATACAACTGATTTAAAAACTTCTTCTAGAGATACAAGACTTTTATTCATTTTTAATATTCATGTCAGTAGTTTTGGCAATGTGGAAAAATAAATATACTCAAACATTTTATGTATGGTTTCAAATATAAAATATATATTGACAGGAAGGAGCAGGAAGCAAATTTGAAGATAAGTTTTAGAATAACACACACTTCTATTATATAAAGTACCTTAGAAGCCAGATCTTAGTTATTTATAATATAATAGTTCTTCATACAGAGCTGGTCTAAATTCAACAACTCCAAGGCTAAATAATTGGAGGACTCTACAATTAACTGAAAATTCCAAGAGTTAGTGTTCCCCATCAAATTCTTCTCTTGAATGCAAGTTTCATATTCAATAATAAATAAAATATGAAATGAATTCCAACAAACTTATATTATTATTTGTTTTTAATTTGCCTCTTAGACCTTCTTTATTCCACAAAGTTTAGATGGAAAAAGAAATTTTGCTAACCACATTCTATCTCTAAAGGTGTGGATATTCCACACTCATAAATAAACAGAATCTACAGGTTTTCAGGGGATGTGCATCTCTCAGGATAACAGCACAAAGCACCCTCCACCCTCTGGCATATTGGGGTGTCCTTTTCACCCCCCAATTTTTGTCTCCATCACTATTCTCAGCAGGCAGCTACAGCTCTGAAACTTTAATACTCTGAGAGAAAATAAGTAGTTATTCTTTTATTACCTTAAAAAACTGCTAATAGGATTTATACTTGAACTACTAAGATGATGTCCAACATTTTGTTGTAGGAGCATGTTTTTATTTAGTCTAAAAAAACTGAGACACTGAAAGAATTGTCTGAATAGAGAAAAACATCTTATTTGCATTGGTGTTTGCCCTGTTCCATCTGTGGATATCATTATATGAAAAATAAGAATAGGTTATACTTCATAAAATATAAAGGAAGAGAAAATAGAAAAAAAAGTGAGATGTTATCTCAGGAGATTTTGTTTAGTTCCAATATTTATTGTCCACCAGAAAGCAGAGTGAACTTATCATGGCCCTCTCCAGGTAAATCAATCTACAAAGAAACAGTTAAAATACAAATATAAGAACTGCTTAAGTTTTCTTTACTAATAATTCATACAGCTTAGACATTTCCAAATGCTGAAAAACATTATTTTTCTTTGACTAGTCCAATAAATCATATTAAAAAATAGACTTTGAGAGATTTGTTTCCACATTCTTTCATAATTTAGATTTACAAGTTTGATCCTAATAAATTCCCATTGACATATACCAAAATATGTGTTCTGACTCTTAGGCACTGGTCTTTGTTCAACAGATTGGTTTCTTACTATCCCACTACCCAAATCTTATAATTTGGGGTTAACCTTACTTTTCTGTCTTACTGTATATAGAACTACATTCATCTAGTTCAACACATGTTCCCTCTCATATGCAGATGTTCTTTATTAGCAATGTTTTATGTAGGAAAAGTTAATGGGAGATTAGTGACAAAGGAAATTACTTAAAGTTATAAACTGTTTCATATAATTTTCCATTGCTGTCTTCTTTATTCTTCACTATCATCTTTCACATATGGAAAGGTCATGAGAATAGGGGCTCAGAAATAATAAGAGGGTTCAAATTGTACTTAACCATTTCAGTTTCTCTTTGTTTTAGTTGTTTTATTGTAAACTCTACTTCCATGACTAAAATCATCATAATGATGAAGGGATGGCTTCCTTCCCCTGAAACCCCCCAGAGTTACAGTAGAACAGGGAAGGAGGCATTTGTCATGTAGTAGGATATTCTGGGACAGCTCACTCCTGTGAGCCACATCTGCCCTTTTTTCCTCCCACTTTTAATTAACATTTGGAAAAAGAACTTTGATGTCAGTAGATAACAAAGCTGTTAAAAGAGACCAGGAAAGTGATGTGTGTTCTGTCAATCTTCTCCCTTGCCAAGGAGGATGCAAGAGAGTGTTTTTCTTGGAAAATCAGCTCTAGTCAACACATACTCAAAGCAATGTGACCTTGAGCTATATATGTCTAAATAAGAATAGCACAGACTGAAGCATCTTGAGAGAATGTAAATGAACCAGGAAGAGGAAAAGCATCCTAAATGAAGAAGTTAAATCCAGAAAAAGGGTTGTCAAATGCATTTCCTGCCACTTACCTTTTCTGCTGACTGAGCTGTACCAAAAAAGATGGGAATGAAAGCTAACCAAATGATGCAGGTGGTATACATGGTAAATCCGATTGGTTTGGCTTCATTGAAAGTCTCTGGAACACCTCTCGTCTTAATGGCATAAACAGTACAAGTGACCATCAAGAGGATACTGTATCCAAGGGAACAAATGAGCGAGAGATCAGAAATGTCACACTTGAGCACTCCTCGGGCGTTTTCCGGATCCAGTGTCCGTTGTTCTCCATAGTCGATGATGGTGTGTGGTGGGTCCACAACAAACCAGACAAACACCCCAAGGAGCTGTATGGAGATGAGGCTGAAGGTGATCACCAGCTGGGATGCTGGACTAATAAACTTGGGTGCTGTGACAGATTTCTTCCCCTGCTCAAATATTCGGTGGATACGGTTTGTTTTGGTCAGAAGGGCTGCATAGCTGAAACACATACCAAGTCCCAAGAAGATCCGTCGGAAGGAGCATATAATTGTATCTGGTGCTGCAATCATTAAAAAGGTGATGGAATAACAGAGAAAAATCCCTGTTAGGAGCACATAACTAAGTTCCCGTCCTGAAGCCCTCACAATAGGTGTGTCATTATAGCGGACAAAGGTCACAATCACAAAGGTGGTGGCGATGATCCCCAGTATTGCAACAAACACAGGCACCACGGCCCAGGGAGAATGCCACTCCAGTTTGATGATGGGGATACGCTGGCAGCCTGTACGGTTGGTGTTTGGTCTCTGATCCAAAGGGCAAAGTTCACAGGAGAGCTCATCTACCTGGTAGTTGTAACCTTCACAGCGCTCACAGTGCCAGCAGCAAGGGACCCCTTTGACGGTTTTCTTCCTTTCCCCAGGCTTGCAGGGCAGGCTGCAGACAGATGCTGGCTGAGTGTGTTCTCTATTAGCCCACTGCATGTCTTCCACCTGTGGGTATAAAAAATTAATGAGCCTTCCATTTTTCCCCCATTTATAATATCCTAATCCTAGCCACAGGTTTGTAATAAATCACTGAATGCTGACAGTACAAATACAGTTTACCATAATAAGAGCCCAATCTCTTTCCCCGATATTGACTTTATGAAAGTGTTAAATGATTGGGTCCAATAAATCATTCACATCATCAACTTGATAAGTGTCATTAGTTTCCATTTACCTCTTCATTGCTGACCAATCTGACATTTGCAGAAAGATTTATTGGCCCAAACAGTTTTAACACGAAAAGAAAAAATAAATAAAAAGGTCCATAGGATATTTTAGAGCTAATCACAAGTATAAATGCCAGATTCTCTGAAACACTGGATTATGATATAAACATATTTAAAAGATGATCTATGTCTTTCTACTATACTGGGGGAAATTCAGTTCACACTGTGGCAATTTTGAAAGGAAATGGCAAAACAAGTTAACTTTAATCTTTGTCTCCTTATGTGTTCATGGAAATAAGAACACTTATGTGCTTTGTTCCTGTTTAGGTTTGATTCCACTTTTTCTTCAGGCGTGCATTTCCATATTATGCAAAAAACCATGCTGATTGAGATAGCTTAATGGTAATGTTTTCCACTGAACAAAAGTCATCCAACAGGTGATTTAAAACAGTGACAYTAACTACAAATGAGGGAGTTTCCCTACTGTGCAGAATATTTGCCTTACAGCTTTAAAGTTCTACCTTATAAATCACAGAATATTTTATTGAAATAAAAATAATTTTGAAGGGGACAGTGGCAATTGTAGTGCCAGTCCCTTACCTTGAATTTCTTCCTTATTAGATATACAATAATTTTTACAGAATGTTAATAGTTAAAAACTCCTATAGATAAGAGGCCATTTGTTGTGAAAACCAGCTGCTATATAATAGGTCAGGTCTATGAAAGGAATGATCTGCTTACTGGTGTGAACCAACAGTGACTGACACACAATCTTGTCTTCAACAGATATTTACTTAATTCTTGAGGAAGAAAGGGTAGAAAAGGTAGCACACAGAGACCTCAGGAATAAAGGCCAATTTGAGAAGCATGGAAAAGGGAAATGAAGGAATGTGTGAAAGGGAGAAACCCCTTATTTTTCCAAGACACAGCTTTATTAACAATCCTTAAGAATTATGATACTCTGTGCTGGTCACTTTCCAAGAYTGGTCCCTGATAACCTCTCCTGAAATGCATCCACTCACCTGGTCCTCTCTCACTTTGAATAAGAGATGATCTACATAAACAAGAGTATATTCCAAAAATGATGGTATATGATTTCTGAAGCTAGGTCATAAAAGACATTTTGGCCTATGCTTTGCTTTTTCTTGGATCTTTCACTCCAGGGGAAGCACCACAGTGTCAATTCCCTATGGAAAGGAAGAGAGGCCTGRGCCAATCATAATCACCAACTTGTGGTGCTTGAGATGGAGCCACCCACAAAGGCATCATCCAGTCCAAGTCAAGACTTTGAATGATGCATCTCTGACTGACATCTTGGCTACAAACTCAGGAGAGTCCTGAGGTGAAGCAGCCCAGCTAAGCTTCTCCTGAATTTCTCATTTACAGAAAGCATGTGAGATTATAAATGTTTGCKGTTTTAAAATGCTAAATTTTGGATTTTATTTTTATAGCAAAAGAAAATTAATGCAGCTTGGAAACTTACTCATTCTGTTTCCACTATCATTTTAACATTAGTAAGGTATTGAGAAGCCACACCCAGGCACAGCTACCATACATCTTTAAAATATCAAGCGTGCAGTCTCAGAAATATTCCTTCATCACTTTTAAGGCTGCCCCCTCCCTTTGGCAACCAGGTGACAAATGCTTTTATTACTTAAAATGCTTTTCTTTCTTGAAAACTTCTTTGAATAGCTGAGGGCAGAGAATCATAATTCTTAAACTCATTTTTTGCAGAGGGCTATCTAACCCCTCCAAGGTAGAGTAAAGAATTCATTTCAAACATCTTCCCTTGGGAAAGGAGATGCTACTTCATGTGTCATAAGTTCATACAAGACTATCAAATCTATTCTATGAGCATAACACAAAGGTAAATTAATCTATCATAACTACTAATTCTCCATTAAGTTTTAATAACTTTAAGATTTTATTTACTTACAAGATTATAGTAAGAAAGAAAATAATGTTAAATTGGAAGCACATAGTAGCTTTTCTAAAAAAAAATTTTGAGAAAAAAATGAAATGTTCTACTGAGTAGCTGAAATATTGATTTTATACCATAATGGACTCATAAGATAATAAAATACTTTCTGAAGGTAAACTTTATGGTTCAAAACTAATTATTATAAAACCAAAWTTGCATTTTTTTTCCTGGGACTTTTATGGATTTATAATATTATAGTCCAAAAGAGTTAGCAAAAAAAAAAAAAAATCTCAGAAATGTTAAACATCAAACTTGATGGAAATTTAAAGGATACTATTATGGTTTGAATATGAGGTGTCCCCCACAGTGCCCCTGTGTTAATGCACAAATATTCAAAGATGAAATGATCAGATTATGAGAACCATACATAATCAGTCCATCCTAGTTTGAATGAACTAACTAGGTGGTAACTGTAGGTAGGTGGAGCTTGGCTGGAGGAAGTGGTTCATTGGGGGTGTGCCCTGGAAGGGTGCATTTCTCTATGGCCCCTCCCCTTCCTTTTTCTGCTTCTTGGCTGCCATGAACAGAAAAGCAGTCTTCCACTATGCCCTTCTGCCWTGTTCTGCCTTGTCTTGGGCCCAGAGAAATGGGCCCACCATGTGCTGAATCTCTAAAACCATGAGACAAAATAATTTTTTCCTCATCTAAGTTGTCCTGGTGAAAATAATTTTTTCTCCTCTAAGTTGTCAGGTATTTTTGTCACAAGGACAAAAAGCTGAGTAACACAGTTATCTCTGGTGACATGTCAGATGTTTTAAATCTCCACATGCCTTATTTTGTGAAAGGAAATATGATGCATTAACAAAGAATTATAACCATGTTGGATAAGTCTCAATACATAGGATGAATATGTGCCATTATAACCTAAATATRAAACTTTCCTTGATAAGTTTTCTGTGTATAGAATTAATGGATAAATGTTTTTTTGTAAATGTAAAATAAAGTTATAAAACTCTGGAAAATGCAACATTTCAATAGCTGTGAAGGTTTCTTTTAAATAAAAATATATTTAAATCACACATGCAATACTTTTTAATAAATGGAGATTAAGTTTGTTTTAGAAAACAAGATTAGTGTATGTGTCTCCATTTTCATCAAGAAATCTATTAATGTATGACTATATTATGAATTGGTATTATAATTAAGGTCTGGAGACCAACTACTCACTATCCATCTCAAGGAAAGATAAATGGCCTATGCTTGAATGAGGATCTTATAAATACATTGATATTTGAAACTAATGACATGTTTTATATAGTTTCTAAATGATGATTTTAAACAATACTACTTGAATATAAATTAAACTGCCTCATTTCTATAACTTCTTTATTAAAAAATTAACAAGGATCATTGAATCGGTTTGATTGCTATATTAACAAATTATTCCATCTTTCATAATAAGTATGAAGAGAAGGCTTATCCAAGTATTTTTAAAATTGATCTCCCTACCATTGGTATTATTCAGATATTGCAATGTTTCTGTCTAAAACATGTAGTCTAACAAATKGATGATTGTTATATAGATAGACTTTCCACAGACAAAATGATAGCCCATTTCTATCTTGACATTATTTATCAACAATGATTCATTCAGTAGGTTTCAATCCAGTGCATTTCAGAACATGTAAGCCACTGGCTTGTTTCTGTTGCAAAATCCTGTTATTTCTGCAGAAAACTACACCAGCAATCATACATTAAAAAAATTTCTGGGCGACTATGCTTGCATTTTAAAACTTTTAATCTTTCCAGAACAGTCATATCAGAGTAATATTACATATACTCTTTAAAAAGAACATCATTTTTAGAGAATAATTTTGTTCTGTAACAAAGAACTTCTGAAAAAAATTTACAAGAATGTTTCACAATTACAAGCCCCATTGTAATTAATAATTTCTAGTATTTATTACAAATTTACTCAAAATTTACCTTATTAGAGATGATTCAAATATATTAAGTGTTATCTTCATTAATGTGATTACATAAAGTGAGTATATTTTAAACATACAATACAAAAGACTGATATCTAATCATAACACTGGTAACTTTTTTCATCCTTTGAAAATTGAATATGGTTGAGGTGATTACCAGATTGAGGTCCTGGTTTTATGTGATGTTCCAAATCTATATAACCTTTTTTTTTTTTTTGAGAGAGAGAGAGAGGGAGAGAGAGAGAATGAATCTTTTTTGTAGATGGACACAACACAATGCCTTTATTTTTATGTGGTACTGAGGATCGAACCCGGGTCCTACTCATGCTAGGCGAGCGCTCTACCGCTGAGCCACAATCCCAGCCCAATATAACCTTTAAAAACACAAATTTCCTATTTTAAAGGACAATTTAAGATGAAATTGAATAAAACAATTTCATTTATAATAGCATTGAAAAATAAAATATTTAAGAAAAAGCTTAGTAAAAGAAGTACAAGATTTAACTGGAAATTATGAAACATTATTGAGAAAAATAAAACAAGGCTCAAATAAATGAGAAAAAATCCCATGTTCACAAATCAGAAGAGGTACTATTGGTAAGATAGTAATATTCCCCAAACTTATCTACTGATTCAACACAATCCCTATCAAAATCAAGCTGGCTTCTTTACAAAAATTGACAAGGTCATCCTAAAATTTATTTGGAAAAATTAAGGGATCCAGAACTATACCACTGGCATAGAAATGAGTTAATAAAATAAAATTGAGAATGCCAAAACCTTTACATATGTGGCCATTGATTATTGACAAGTATAGCAAGAAAATTCAATGAGACTGAACAGTCTTTTTAAATGGTGCTAAGACATATA